CTAGAACTCCACCAGAACTCTAAAACATAGGAATAAATCTTTAGGACTTTGGATTAGATAGTTCCTTGATCCTAATAAAAAGTTTAAAAGAAAAAACTGTGTAAATTGGGTGATAACAAGACTAAAAACTCGAGTTACAAATGATGTCATCAAGAGTTAAAAGATAGTCCACAGAATGTGAGAAAAGTATTCTGAATTATAGATCTAATAAGATACTTGCATCCTTACATAACTATATAAAGAATATATACAGAGCCCATACAATTCCATAATGAAAAGGCAAATTGTTAAATTTTAAGATAAAGAATTTGAATAGAAATTTTTCCATATCATATATACAAATGAGCAACACACCCATGAAAAGATGGTCCACATCATTAGTCATTATCCACTGCGTTCCAGATGATTCTGAACCTTATCCTTCCCATCTTTGACACACCTGACCTCATTGCCACAATTTCTGTGTCAATACATTTAATCCAAGGTCTTCCTCTTCTGCCCTCTTCTGACCCTACCCTTCCAAGCATGATGTCCTTCTCCAAGGATTGATCCTTCCTGGTGGCATACCTAAAGCATGTGAGATGGTGTTTCAAAATAGTTGCTTCCAAGGAGCAAACTGGTTTTACCCTCTCCAGGACAGTTTATTTGTTCTCTTGACAGTTCATGGTATGTTCAATATTCTTCTCCAGCACTACAACTCAAAATCATCAGTTCTTCTTCTGTCATCTTTATTTATTGTCCAACTCTCAGATGATAGCAAGCAATTGAGAAGGCCACAGCCTAAATCAGGTGCAGTCTCTAGACTAAGAAAAGAATGAGAAGAGTTTATTTTAGTGGGCACACAAATGTTCTAAAGTAAGGCTCTCTAAAGGGAGCTCTGGTGTCTTAGTGGCAAGAAGCTGTACTGCAATCTCAAAGGTGTGCAGTTCGAATCTACCAGATTCTCCACTAGAGATGGACGGGAAATCTCCTCCTATGCCAGTCAGATCTGATTAGACAACACACAAAAAGAAAAAAGAATAAATAAAAAGAAGTAAGGCTCTGGTGATGGGCATGCAATTCTTTGAATTTATAAATATAAAATCCTGGAATTATATACTTTAAATAAATAAATGAATTGTATAGTCTATAAATTCTATCCAAAAACAAACAAACAAACAAACACCACACACAACCTTGTTAACTCAGTCTGAATACCTCCCAAATATCAGTATTTTTTAACACCCCCAGTAATTGAATTAAGTAAGGTCAAGAACCATTGCTTTAAAATCAACTCTAATCTAAGTAAGTTGCTGATTTAGAAAACTCAAAAAGAGTTTAGAAGCCACTAGAGAAAACTCTCTGAGAGGCTTGCTTACACTTTGCTCTTCAAAGTGTGGTCCACAGATAGGAGCTGCAGTGTCACCTGGCTTCCTGTTAGAAATGCAGAATCTTGGGCAACTACCCAAAGGTAATAGATCAGAAATTTTCTTAGAACATGGTTCTCAGATGATCTATATGTACATTAAAGTTTGAGTTTCTAAAACATTGTTTCTCAGACTTGGCTGTACTTTAGAACCAACTGGGGAGTTAAAAAAGAAAAGGTCCTGCCTGAGTTCTGCCCCACTATTCTTTCTTGTATGAGGTGGCAGCCTGAGTGTCTGCATTTTAGGAAGTTTCTAGATGATTCTAATGTGTAGCAAAGGTTGAGAAATAACAGTGTTTTATAAAATATTTGAAGCTATTTTATGTTAAAGAGAAGATGAGATGAGATGGTTAATAAGTCATATTTCTGTATTTTTACATAGGGCTAAGGATTGGCACAGTGACTGCTGCATTGGGCTCTGTGTGTCAGGAAGTGTGAGGATGGTGCAGGATAGAACAGAGTTTAGATCTTTTGTTCATAGGGTGGCTATGAGTCATACTCGATTCAACAGCACCTAACAACAACAATACAGATATAGCATAATGTACATAAGATAATGGAGATTTTTTTTATAAATGACAATAAGCTTTCCAAGAGTAGGGAAGGGATGGGTTGAAAATAGTGGAAAGAGATTGACCCAAAGAAAGGCACAGGAAGTATAAAAAGACCTGGTATTTTCTTTCCAGATAGAGGGGAGGGATCTTTCATAGTCTTATTAGAGACTACTCAAATTTAAGTGAACAAGGAATTCTGAGTCCTTAACAGTAAAACATTTTTCAAGAACACTAAAAATATGTGGACACTTACTGAATTTTGCTTTCATTTAATATAAAAGAATGTATTATTACAATGTCAGGTGTGCCTTCTATGTCCAGTTTTTTGATGGAACCTGAGTGGAGTCAGACTGCACCTCTGCAATGACCAGGGTCTCTTTTTCCTAATGGAAAATTAAATGTTTCAAAATCATGACTATGTAGTCTTTTCTATGAAAAATTATTTTCAATCAAACAATTATATGGTTTACTATGCCAGGAAGGTAGGTTTGAATATATTTAATTTGTACACTTTAAAATCTTAAAAAGATCTAGGTATTTCACATGTATTTGTACTAAATTTAAATGTATGTACCATGTTTGAATGTAAAAGACTTTCATTTTTCTGAGGGCAGTACAATCTTCAAATCATGTTGCATCTGTACTGTCGGTGCCACCATTTTTGGCAGGTGCAATCTTTCCTCATTTCTTTGTGTGGATTCAGTATGAAGCCAGCTGTCTACACTAGCTAACTTATTCCTTTGGTATAAAGAACAATCATTTTTAAATACAGCACATTGTCTACCGCAAAGGGTCATAGAATTTACTTTTTTAAAGCCTTATACAAGAAAAAAAAAAACACCCCACTGCTGTTGACTTGAATCCAGTTCATGGTAACCTTTATCAGCTTTTCAAGGCTATTAATGTTTATGGGAGAAGACTACTCATCTTTCTCTTCTGAGTGACTGGTGAACTTGAACCACCAATTTTACACTTAATAACCTGATACATTATACATTGTTGATAAGTGTAGACAACATGAGGATGACTGAATCTGACTTCTAAATCCACTAAGGAAAACTGTCCCCATCAACATCATCTATAGTATAAAACTAATTCCTTTAAGATCTGGCATGGTCTCCCACACAACTGTCCCTGCTTCTTCTAATGCCAACACCATTATTACTCCTCTTCTAGGTCTGAAATCATTGCAGTGACCACACAGATCTCACAGAAGCGTACTCACAGTTATTGAACTTATTAGGGAAGTTAACAGGATACAATTCAAATTGTAGAATGCGATTGCAATTCAAGTTGCAGGGTACAATCATCCTTCAGTCCAGACAGCTTCTCATATGTACAGTTCTTCAGTTAAGACAGCTTCTTCTATGTGTTTTAGGCCCTTTTACTTTCAACCTGAAGGCTTAGGTCCGTGTTACAAAGTTCTTTTAGTCTGCCAGTCATTGATCTTCTCTTAGTCCTCCAACAAGGTTGGATACAGGGTTATGTCTCCGACTCTGTGGGTCAGCATACCCAAGTCAGCTCTTGCTCATGTTAGTCTCTGATTCTCTTTTGAGGCTGTTGTTGCACTTGTGTAGATCATGTGGTCTGGATGATGCAGGAATCTCAGGACTCAAAGGATAAATGTGCACTCTCTGCTTCCTTTTTCGGCTGATAGTGAGATTTCCAAATTTCTGCTGCTGAATTGGATCAATTTAAACCTGGTGGAATGGGAAAACTAGCCAATCTCCCAGTGGATAGACTAACACACCCTATTTATATGTTCCCACTCTTGCATGTGGCAAAGTAAAAATTGATAGCTAGGAAAACCATTTTGAACAAAAAATCTGTGACAACACACACACTATTCTGCCAAGGCTTTGTAGTTGTTGTTTTTAGGTGCTGTCAAGGCAATTAGGATTCATAGAGACAGATATGAGCCCTGCCTACCCTTTCACTTTCCTGACAATCTCTGATGTATTCAAGCCCATTGTTACAATCATTGTGTCAGCCCATCTTGTTGCGAGTCTTCTTTTTTCTCTTAACCTTTTATGTTTCCCAATATGATGCCTTTTTGCCAAGACTGGGCCCTTCTGACAACATGACCAAATAGTGTGAGACAAATTTCACTATTCTTAACTGTAAGGTGCATCCTAGTTGCATTTCCTCCAAAATAACAGTTCTTCTAGAAATGCTTAATCATTGTTAGAATGTACTAAAATGATTACTGCTTGCACAAAGACCTCTAAATTCATAACCAAGTTGTTAATTGGTAGATTTATTTAATACAAATAAAAGGAAATTTTAAAATCATTTATATGATGCAACCACTATGGAAGAAAGTTTGGTGCTTTCTCAAAAAGTTGAGAATAGAAATACCATTTGACCCAGCAATTCCACTACTGGGAATATACCCTAAAGAAACCAGAACTGCCACCCAAGCAGATATATTGTAGCTTTGTTCACAATAGCAAAAAGCTGGAAACAATCCAAGTGCCTATCAACAAACGAATGGATAGAGAAGCTATGATATATTCACACAATGGAATATTATGCTTCATTGAAAAAAGAAGGGACTCATGAATTATTATACAAAATGAGTGACCCTGGAGGACATTATGCTGACTGAAATATCTCAGTCACTAAAGGACAAATACTGAATAGTGCCATTGTTGTAAAGTGGGACTGACATTGGAGTTGGAGGGCAACTAAGAAAAGAAGCGATAAATAATGTATACTGCATTGAAACAGATGAGGGAGAGAACTGTTTAGGAGGAATATATTATTAGGTATTATTGTCATGACAAGAGTCCAGAATGAAAGCTGCATAGTGGAATGGACTGGGGACAGGAGGGAATTGTAGAACAATAAAATAATTTTTTTTTTTTTTTACTTTTCAAAGAGAAAAGTGAACTGGAGGAAGGGGTGGGCAAGGAGGAAAGTGTACAACTATGAATGAATGGAAATCCAAAGTCTCTGTGAACTTTCATTAAAGTAAGTTTTTTTAAAAAAAATTACAATTATTTGGCAGATTAATGTTTCCTCACACAATTCTTTTCTAGTGAAGGGACCCCATCCCCCAGAGTGGAGCTGCTGCATAACATCGACCCGAACTTTGTAGATACAGCACCATGTGAGTACTCAGTTCATTGCTCCTTAATCTCTTTAGCTGACAGTCATTTGTACTATCTAGTATCTCTCTATCCTATATTTTCTTTCATCACTCAGGTTGATAAAGGGAAGCAGTTCTCCTTGGCACATGGTCCACTGATCTCATTGTGGCTTCAGGTCTAAAAAGGGTGGCCTGTTGTGAAAGGAACATGAGGTTATGAATCAAGAGAAATGAATGGTTGGTGTTCTTAGCTTTACCACTTTCTAGCTATATGACGTTTAAACCGTTTTATTCTCTGTTCCTCAGTTTCTTTCTCTATAATAGAAGAGAAAAACCATGGGACCTCAGAGACTCTTCATGTTGTTACCCTGTTCTTATAAAAAGTTCCATAACACTTTTCAAAAAAATTCATGGTCATATAAGCAGCCAGGTTCTGGGTTTCAGAACCATATGAACCATCACATCCTTTGATTGACTGGTCTAGTGCTACCAAGGCTTGCTGGGTCTCCAGGTGTGTCTTTGTCTAGGTTTTATAGAGGAATAAAATGAGTGAGACGTATGTGTGGAGGGAGGTGGACAGAGCTGGAGGGAAAGGAAGGGGAAGGGAAAGAATTATTTCAAAGAAATGGCTCATGCAGTTGTGGAGGTTGATGAGTACCAAAACCCATAGGTCCAGTGGCAGACTGCAGAACTCATCTAGACTGAACATCAGCTGTCAGGACAGAGACTTGCAGGCTCATGTGTCAGGAACTAGAAATCGACTGATAAAAAGAGTGCAGGGCCAAAGGCTTAATAGAGTGGATGAACTTTTCCAGAACATCCGGTTATGTATTGGAGGCTGGCCACACCCCAGCGGAGCGTCCACTTCAATTGATTGGCTGTTGATAGCATAAAAAAAGTTATTACATTATATTACATGAGTAGGTAATCCAGTGTCTGTCAAATCACTAAAAGTTGTAGCCTAGCAAAGATGACATATAAGGTCAACCTTTTATAAAATTGGCTCCTATGTACATCTCTTTAAACACAATAAAATCTCGAAAGGACAATTATAAAGCCATATAAATGCCTAACAAATATGCATGAAACAATTTATTCATATAATCAAAAACATACTACTATTTTTCTATCTTATATACGTATTACAAAATATTAGAAAAAAATAGTAGTATGTTTTTGATTGTATGAATAAATTGTTTCATACATATTTGTTAGGCATTTATATGGCTTTATAACAGGATTGGTGGAAGATCTATTAACAGTCTGCGTTATGCAGATGATACAACCATGCTTGCTGAAACTGAAGAGGACCTCATGCATTTGCTGCAGAGGGTCAAGGACTACAGCCTTCAGTATGGACTGAGACTCAATGTCAAGAAGACAAAGATTCTCACCACTGGACCAATTGGTAGCATCAGGATGGATGGCGAAGAGATTGAGATTGTTCACAGCTTCAGTTTGCTCGGCTCCACGGTCAACACTCTTGGCACCAGCAGCCAGGAAATCAAAAAACGTATTGCGATGGGAAAGTCTGCTGTTAGAGACCTCTCTAAAGTACTCAAGAGCAACGGTGTCTCTCTGGAGACTAAGGTATGCCTGATACAGGCCATGGTCTTTGCAATCACTTGTTATGCATCAGAGAGTTGGACAATGACTAGGGAGGACAGAAGGAGAATTGATGCCTTTGAGCTGTGGTGCTGGAGAAGAGTATTGAATGTCGCATGGAAACAGATTCATCCTGGAGAGGGTTAAACCAAGCTACTCCTTGGAGGCAAGGATTCTGGGGCTTCATCTGACATACTTTGGGCATGTTGCAAGGAGGGACAGGTCCTTGGAGAGGGACATCATGCTTGGGAGGTTGGAGGGACAGCACAGGAGGGGAAGACCCTCTATGAGATGGATTGATTCAGTGACTGGGGTAATTGGGATGGGTGTGTCAGAGGCAGTGCAATTGGCACATGATAGAGCAGGGTTTAGGGTTGTTGTACATAGAGTCGCTAGGAGTCGCAAACAACTCGATGGCACATAACAACAACAATAACATTGGAATAAGAGAGGAAATAAAAAGATTATACACACACATGTAAAACAAGGAAGAAATAATCGACTCTCCTCACTTATGCAACTGTGAAAATCTGCAGTTAGGGACCTCTCCAAATTATTGAGGAGTAATGATGTGACCCAGATCAGGTGGCCTGGTGAAGAGAAAACGATGTGACCAAGACAAAGGTGGGTGAGTTTTCATTCACGGCCCTCAGGCCAGTCTTTCATTGTTTTTGTTCAGACATTCCTCTAGGTCCTATAGCCTGTGGTGTACAAGTTGCCATCCTGCGGTCACTTGTGGTTGCTGGGAGGCTGAACACTGTGACACGGATGTGTCAAATGCGTTAATGGTTGGCTACCCAATGAGGACTGAGAGTGGGGTGGAGCTCCCTGATTAAACAAGCTTGGAAGGAGGAGTGGCATCCACTTCCATAATAGCTTGCCTCCAGAAACCCTATGAACCTGGAGAGAGGATGAAAGGCACCCAAGCGTCGAGGACTCTGCTTCATAGGGTCGCTATGAGTCACCTGTGACTCGACGGCACTTAACAACAACAGTGATGTGAATTTGAGAACTAAGGTGCATCTGATTCAGACCATAGTCTTTCCTGTTACTTACTATACATCTGAGAACTGGACAATGAATAGGGATGACAGAAAAAGAATAGATACCATGGAGTGGTGGTAGAGAAGAGCACTGAACATCCCATAGAATTAACAGATATGTCTTGGAGAGGGTGCAGCCAGAGTGCTCTTTGGAAGCAAGAATGATGAGGCTTCACCTCATATTATGGGCTTGTTGCTAGGAGGTGCTATTCCTTGGAGGACATGATGCTGATGGAGGTGAAGGAGAGGAAGACGCTCAACCAGGTGGATTGACATGGTAACTGCTACAGTGGGTCTTATATGTCAGGAAGAGTGAGGATGGAGCAGGATAGAACAGGGTTCAGATCTTTTGTTCATAGGGTTGCTATGAGTCATACTTGAGAGAACCTAGCAACAAGAAGAAGCTGGTATTTCCACAACCCATTTAAATTCCCTTGGCCCTCAGCAAATACCCTAGTTGGCTGTGGTATTTTATCAGCTGTAGTAACCCAAACCTTTATATTTTTTTTTAAGTTTTAAATGTCTATTTTCTAAAAAAGATTTTAATTTGTAGACTCTTAAAGAATCTAGACCTTGGTAGCTCTCTCTGAATTGGCTTGTGATTTTCCACTGACTTTCCACCCAAAGCATGATTATTGTTGTTGTTATGTGCTGTTGTTTGTGACTCATATCGATCCTATGCACAATAGCTCTGGAGCCTAGCCCTATTCTGATACAATCTTACTATCCCCAACATACCTGCTCCCATTACTCCAGTTACTGTTACCAATCCATTTCATCCAGGGTCTTCTTCTCCTCTACCCTTCCAAGCATAATGTCCTTCTCCAAGTACTGATACTTCCAAGCAAAATGTCCAAAGTAAATGAGATGGAGGTTCAAAATCTTTGCCTCCAAAGAACAACTTGATTTTACCCTCTCCAGGACAAACCTGTTAGTTTTCTTGGCAGTCCATGGTATCTTCAATATTCTTCTCTATCACCACAACTCAAAAATATCAGTTCTTCCATCATCCTTATTCATTGTCCAGCTCTCTGGTGCATAGCATTTAATTGTGAAGATTATGGCCTGGATCAGGCAAACCTTATTCTCTAGACTGAAATCATTACCTGAGTTCGGCACACTTGAATCCTTAAACTGACATTATTATTCCTCAGTAACTTGGAGATGTCTCTGACAGCAGACTTTCCCAGTGCAATATGTCTGCTGATCTCCTCATTGCTGGTGTCAAGGACATTGATTGTGGATCCAAATAAGATGAAGGTGTTGACAATCTCGGTCTTTTCTCCATCTATCATGATGTTGCCTATCAGTCCAGTACTAAGAATTCTTGTTTTCTTGACATTGAGATGCAGTCCATATTGAATGCTGCATTCTTTGATCTTCTGCAGCACTTGCTTCAAGTCTTCCTCACTTTTAGCAGGCAAGGCTGTGGCATCTGCATTGTTGTTGTTGTTGTTGTTGTTATGTGCCATCGAGTCATTTGCGACTCATAGCGACCCTATGTACAACAGCCCTAAACTCTGCTCTATCCTGTGCCAATCGCATGGCCTCTGACACACCCATCCCGATTACCCCAGTCACCGAATCAATCCACCTCGTAGAGGGTCTTCCCCTCCTTCGCTGTCCCTCTACTCTACCAAGCATGATGTCCCTCTCCAAGGACCTGTCTCTCCTTGCAACATACCCAACATATGTCAGACGAAGCCCCAGAATCCTTGCCTCCAAGGGGTAGCCCGGTTTAACCCTCTCCAGGATAAATCTGTTTGTTTTCTTGGCAGTCTAGGGTACATTCAATACTCTTGTCCAGCACCACAGCTCAAAGGCATCAATTCTCCCTCTATCCTCCCTAGTCATTGTTCAACTCTCTGATGCATAACAAGTGATTGCAAAGACCTTTGTATCAGGCGCACCATAGTCTCCAGAGAGACACCGTTGCTATGCAGGTTATTGATGAGTCTTTCTCCAATTGTGAGTCATATAAGTAGGTATGAGATAATCCCCAGGGAAACCTTCCCTTTCCTAAGTAAGCCCAAAGTAACCCCAGCTATTACCATTCCACCCCTCTTACTTTAAGGATATAGGGTACCACCAGAGGCCCTTCCCCATTATTCTGCAGCATTGAAAACACCAGCCAGAAAAGAGGTACTGGGGACTTCCTTTGCTAATATTCATTCCTTCCCTCTCTACTTCAATGGGAGGCCAGCATTATAAAGCCCTGCCTCTGGTCTTGACTCAGCTTGACTTCCCCTCCAAATTCAGAGTACCAACTCTTCTTAATGTTCTGTGCTTTGTCTCACAGAAAGTTTCATTTCACGCTGTTTCCTCTATTAATGTTCATTTCAGTGTCCCAAATATGACCTCATTTCTGTTTCC